GTGGAGGGAGAATTAAGACTTAAGACACACACACACACACTCCCCTGCGCTTCCTATGCAGACTTCCTTGTCTGAAGTTAATAAACAGTAATAAATAATAACGTTTTTAAATCCCCACGCCTTGCCAGTATGTGATGAAGTGTTTCAATCTATTTTAATCAATAAAAAGGTCAAAGCGGGAATTTTTTCTTGCCAGTTCGTACCCGCCGATCGTCGTCAATATAGCAACTGTTGTTTGAATCAGTGCTATTGTTTTATACAATAAGCATATCTTAGCTTGGATGTATAACTCAACAGCAACATCAAAAATACTTGGTTATTCATGATTATAATCAACTTCCCCGATGGTTAATAACATGTTCATCCTTTAGTCTTTAATGTTACAAATGATTGAAATCGTATGATAATGAGGATTTGCACTAAACCGTCATGTTATTTCTTTTTTTTGCTTTTCAAAGAAAATACTGGTGAAATTTCACCAGTATTTTCTGGTCACGATCTATATGTTTGACATTGAGGTTATTCAAAAGTAGAAACAAGTATGCAAGTTACCTTCATTTGGTGATACCTGGATTATTTTGTTAAACAGCCAATTTTGTTATTTGGTAAACCAATAAATACAATGTTGGGTCCAAATGATCGCGTTGGTTTTTAAAGGCTTTTCTTCGCTGAGTCTGAGCACCAGTGGACTGTCTCAGTCCCAACGTGACCCGACCCAATGGATTGAGGGCAATAACCTTAACGTGAACAAAAACGTATATCAAGAGAAACATAAGGAAGCGTCGGATTGCAATTGGCTTCCGTCGGGTCAAACCTGATCACTCAGCGAAAAGGAAAGAACGGAAAGTGTGTGTCGGTCCGTTCATGTGTGGTGGAAGCAGGAAGAAATGAATGGGGCCTTTTTTCTTACAGCGGGGCCCGATCACGGCTCCTGACTATGGGATTTGGTGCTGTTGCCTTTCTCCCCCGGGAGGGGTAATTAGGTTAGGGGAGGACAACTGCCGCATTGTTTTAACAGAAGAGGGATTGTGCAGACCAAAGTCCCACCAGCAACACGCATCCCTCACAACAAAAAATGCCAAACGGATTCTGACGCGCAAACTTGCATCCACACAGAACCTGTTTTTTCCCCCCCTTCTTATTTCTTGGGTTTCCTCTGTTTAGCTCTTCGGAAAAGCTGTCTTTTCTTTCCTCTTGAGTTCAGCGGACTGGTCGGTGCTTTGTGTACCCTACAAGACGTCAAACACAGTCCACCGGTGTCGGATGTCCTCTGGTGTTGTTGCAGTTGTGGGATTCTGGCTCCTTCGCGGGGACTCGCTTCCCGCTCCGGCGTAGCTGCGTCTGCCCTCGCCCGTTATCCAGAGGCTTGGCAAGGCGCACCGCTCCTAACTAGTGTAATATGGTTATGATGCATTCTGCATTCCTTCTAATCCACCAGGAAACGCAATACGCCTGTATCGCCGCTTTCAATCACGGCCCACTTCCAAGGAAAGTAAGAGGAGAACACAAACAGCCGCGGCCATAAAGAGGCTTTCTCAAATATACTTTGAGTTTGTTTAAACACATCTTCTGCTGATTGATGGAGAGAAAATCAAACAAATCATGCTGCAAGGAGCAATAGAAAGGACACGGAGCGCTACCCGCTCTGCTGTATTTACAACACAGACCTCTTTCATTGCCGCCAGTTTCCCCCTTCCGCTTCATTCCCTCTGAGCAGACAGATTGAATAAAAATATATATATATTCTGCGGTCGTTTCGCTCCTCTACATCATTCTCAAGGCCTGCGAGGCCCCATAACGTGCGCCGCTGCCCGCCCGCCCACGCTGACCCTGTTCGCTTTCACCGTAAATCTACGCCGCCTGGCTGCAATACGCCATCGATTTGTGGTCCCCGAATGGGTCCTAACTCACACACACTGTTCAGGTGTGCGTGCGGAGAGGAAGAACGCGGCGAACGGGTTAAAGGCGAGCGCGTATGCGGCTGTAGCTGGCAGGCCCAGAAGGCCTGCAAGAGTTGTTTTCCTCGGCTTGGCGCAGGTGGCGGAGATGATTGCGCTTTATTCCAGATGATGACCATAATGGGGCCCGGTTCGAGTTTCACGGTGGGGCCTTTTTTTTCGCGCCGACTGACAGCGGCCCGACATGGCAGACGTCCGAGGTGCTTCAGGGGCCCACAGATGGAAGTGCACAAGAGAGGTGTTTTATACTCATTAGTGGACGTAACGTCTTAGTAACGCGCGTGTAGGTGGATCAATGAGATCAGCTGTCAATCAGAGCGTTTGAGGAGCGGACATTCATAGCCGCCCACCCCCCCCCCCCCTTCCCGCTACCGTGAAGTCGCGGAACGCCAACATCTGTGTTTCATATCTCAGCAGTCACACAAAACCCCCAACCCTGCTTTTCCCAGTCAAATATACAACTTTTCCGTGTAACGCACACCAATCCTGCAGCTATTTCTCTGAGCCTAAACAGAGCATAAAAAGTTTATGTGACGGAGCGCAGCGCAGCTGCAGTCGGGGGGGGGGGGAAGGCCGGGGCGGACCGGGCCAAAACGGAGAGGCCGGAGAGCTGGTGTTCGGACCCTGAGCCCGGATTGCCCTCCTCCCCTCTGCTGCGCTGTGATTTCAACAAGGGGGCTGTTTGACTCTACTGCACTCTGGCCAACTGTCGAGCGGTGGTGGTGGGGGGGGGTCATGAAACAGCAGCCGGGGCAAACACCAGTCACAAGAAGCATAGAGCGCGCACTCATACCCGACACGCGCACGCACGCTTCCACACAAACAGTCAGCTAACAGCGCGCATGGTCCCGCCCTCCGGCTCTGTTTGCTCGCAGCTGCCGGGCCTCCTCCCAGAGTTCAGCTGAGGTAAAGATATGTAACGTTATGCAACCGAGTATAGATTTTCCACCCTTGGCCCCGCGCCAACTTCCTGCTATGAAGAGCGACGCTTTGTTCCCTGGGGGGGGCAGCGACTCCTTGCTGGACAGGGAGGTGGCCGAGAAGAAAGGCAGCAAAAGACAGCATGGACGGGAAAGAAAAGGGGACGGTCCTAACATATTGCGGCCTGACGTGCTTTGTCTGTGACTAAAAGTGCTTCTTCCGCTAGCGACTCGGGTCTTTCTCCCCAGCTCTTGGAAATCAGGTCACAACTGTTTTCATTACTGTTCGGCTCGCAGGTTGGCAAAAGCCTCCGAGCGTCAGCCTCCCTCCCCCTGCCCCCGGGACAGGAAAAGACTTTCCCTCTCAAAGTTAACCCAATAAATGCCTATCGAGCCCAATGCCAACCCTGGAGCCCCGTTCCCTGGGAAGGAGAATAAAAGCAAGCGTCGACGGTGTTGCGTCCGAGTTGTGGACGTGGTCGTGATCTCATCTGGCAAATGGCAGATACGCTTTGTAGCCCGGCATGGTCACTGCTTTCATCTCCTGTGCCGGATCAACATCTCCTGGACTCTACTTTGAAGCGGTTGGCCTTTCGCTTCGGCATGACGTAATGCAGCGTAGGGAATTTCGAGGTACAATCCACCAGCCAATCAATGGCTTTTTATCCTGCCGCTGCTTCGAGGACGGCCGAAGAAGCGGTGGAAGGAGGATGAATGCTATGACATCATGGAGCTGCGTCAGCCCTTAACGGCTGAACGATCACCGCCATCCCCCCTCTCCAGCGCCACCGCCATTTCCCAATTAACTGCGGCCTACTGGAGTCTTTGTCCTTTGTGTCCAAATGATTGCCTCTCCAAGCTTTGCCAGGTGTGCGTGGATGTTTGCTTTGCCTGGTAATAAATGGATGGATGGAGGGAACACAGGAAGCCAAAGATTAATTACTCAGTGTGTGTCGTGCCTGCTAATATGTGATCCCCAACCAGAGGCACTCAAGCCACTGGAAAGATCCGAGGGTAACTCAACTCACTTTTTATTACACATTTCCATGTATAAAAGAGAGCTGCTAATGGATAAATTCCAACTGTACTCAACTTTTCTCAATTTAGTTCTACTTAACATCGCACACGTCACTGATTGGTCGGAGAACCATGGCAACCCCGCTCCTCCAATTAGCGGCCTGCAGTGTTGTAACTCCCCCAGTATAAGCTCGGCCCTGTTGGAACATTGAGCAACGTTGTACCAAAAACAAATGCAGCGTACCAGACAAAGGAAGTAAGTCGAGTCGAACCGTGATGCAGTGGAAATTATTTAACGTGTATGAAGACTAGTTTCAAAGCTAACAGGGACAATAAGTCAATAAAATGTGGCACGGAAGGCATTTAACGTATTCTTTTATTTTTCGCAAGTGGCTAAATGAAACAATTAGCGGAAAGCGTTTGGCTAAACGTAGTGGGAAAACAGTTGGAGTAATATCAGGTCACAATGTCACAGTTGGAAGATAGAGCTAAGAATTAATAAATGATTTACAGATTATATTAAAGAGAAGGCTACTTTGTATTTAAGCTACTGTTACCACCTTTTTAGAAAAGACCAAGTCTTAAAATTGGTAGACAGCCTAAAGTGGGGCTGTGCGGTATGGCCAAAAATAAATATCACGGTATTTAGAAAGATTTCTAAATGACGGTATGTGACGGTGTGGCTTTTTCAAGAAAACATCATTGACGCCGAAAAGGACCGGCGGCTCCCCGGACAGCTGTTCGCGCTCGCTGGCCAACTTGCTCGCAACTAGCCGGCGTGTTAGCTCCTTGTGGCTGCTGGTGTTGCACCAGCGGCTCCACAGACTTTGCGATAAATTGTTTCCTGATCAAACTTACGTCAGATTTTCCAAAACCAAAAACCCTTTCAAACGGACGCAGCTCCTCTCTTTGGTTGAGTTGGTGCATCTCGCTGTATCGCTCTTTCCTGTGTTTTCATGTAGCAACAGAGTTACTTCTTGTTGTGAGCTGCACCCAGCATGCAGTTCAACGGGGTCATTTTTATATTATATATGTGTCACAAGCTGTAGTGTCGTTGTGTTTTACCCTGTTAAAAGAGTCTTTGTTGAGGGTTATTCATTGTTGTTATAAAGTTATAACCATGATTTAATCTCAACACACGTAAGACAAGTAGCTCCGACCCCTGAAACTTGATCAAACGGACCTGTAAGAAATCCGACATGGCCATAGGGGGCAATATTAAAGCAGACAAAAATAAAATATGGAAACCACTGTCCTGTATCACACACACAGGCTCTAACACGTATTGTGCTTGGTGTGAAGTTTTTTATCAGAAAGAATGCACACCTGTGCCTGGTGTGATTAAGTATGTGCGTAATGCACGAGGTATACAGACACACTCTGTGTGCGCCAAATGTACAGAGGACTTTTCTGAATGGGTAGACTGATTGTGTCTCCAGCTCCGGCCCTTTTCCACCCGATGATAATGTGCATGCGTGTGCCTCGATTGTTTTCTATTTTTCCTTTTTCCTTTGTGGAATGAGTGAGTTGGAGGGTCTGCGGTCAGACAGAGAGAGAGACAGTGCTCAGGTTTCTGTCAGATTAATCAGAGCTTTGTAATGGAGGGGTCTACTGTATATATTTAGCCGGCGCAGTGAGATGTAGGTCAGACAGGCCGGCGGGACGGGGCCAAACAACATGCCCGGATTGCCCACGCCGAAGTGACCTTGAGGGGTCCGTCAGCGATCGGCAACTACAACAGCGCTCCTATCTATTTATGTGGACCTGTGACACTACAGATACGATGGCTAGGAGATCTTTAAAGTGTCATATCTTTCCTGGAAACGTCACCTGTGTGTGTGTTAGCAGTCAGTGGGTGAGTGTGGACAGAGTCATCTGAGACTTTTCTCGGGACAAGACTAATAAAAAGCACTGAAGAATATACGCCAATTATTTATTTTCCAAACCTGAAATATTAACTTAATTGATTAGAGCAGCCTAGCAACTTAAATGAAAATTAATAATTGATAATAGTTTAACACACATCCATTATTTCTTTTCGTGTTTTGCTTACCGCCTACTCTTTAATATGTCAAACTTTCCCTGTGCACAATGACTCATGTGCAGAGTATTTCTTTGTAGACGTCTTAACAATCGGACTCATGAATCCTAAATGACGCGCCGCTTTGCAGTTCAAAGGTTTTGCCCTTGAAATCCACTCCACCGTGACCGAAATACAGCGGCTTAAGTGAGACATATCGCTGATCCTCTCCCGGATAAAAAAATCTATTCAAAACAAGCTGAAGCCCGGGAGGAGGAGGGAGGGGGGGGGTAAAGAAACAAGTGTGTGTGTCCTGTGTGTCTGGTGTCATGGTGCGTCCCTGTAAACCATTGGTGCCACACCCTCTCTTATGCTAACACTGGCTGTCATTCTTGCACACACACACAGGGACCGCTAATTGCCACCACAAACACCTAACCCTCAATTGCACCCTCAAATCGGTTGTCACAAGGTCTCACATGCCCGGATATCGTCGGCGCAGATGTTGTTAGCGGGAGAACATGCTATACTGCTGTCTGGAGCTCGGCCATGACAAGGTTCTGAAATATTTAATGAGTGTTTCTTTTTACTCGGCTCGGGGGTTTCCAAACTTAAACACACAAAACTCAATATGCGGCATTAGAATTAAGGTTTTTAAGACATTGTACCCAGAACCATTGGCTTCTAAAGAAAGGGCTTCTTAAGGGTTTCTTGTAAGACAAGGACCCCCTTGAAGTGCCCACTCCACCTTAAAGACTATCACTGGAAACCATGACTATTGCGCGTTCTATTTGACCCTGTTTGGAATCTAGATGGAATATAAGTCTTCTGTAGAACCCTCAGAGTGGGTTGGAACACAAATCAAGTTCTATGTAGAACCTTGTGAGTGAGTTGTAGACGTAACCCTTTGATTACGTAAGGGTTTTTGTTTAAACTCTTTGGGTGGGTGCTGGATGGACCTTTGGAATACAAAAGTATTATGAGTAGAACCTCTGTCGGTGGGTTCTAGGTGTATACAACTGACTGCCAACCCACTTCAGGAACCGCTCATTGGGCGCTCTTGTTGGAACCTTTTACGGATGGTTCTAAAAAGGACCATCTATGTTTGGCTCTAGGAAGAACCCTGGAAAAGCATTCCTGTCGTTACATTTATCAGGAACCAAGAAGGGTTCTCCTTTGGGGACAAGCTAAAGAACACTTCATGCTCTAGTGAGCACCTTTATTTCTTTCTCTGCTCTCATATTTTGTGTTCCTCTGTATATTCTCGCTCAATTATGTAATTTAGCACCCGTGTGTGTGTGTGTGTGTTCAGTAGCCATGGCAACAGCACAACATATCGGCAACCACAGGACCACACTGCGGCCGCTGGCACTGCCAGAGTTGTGCCAAAGACTAATCCGTGCCAGAGGTGACATGGGCAAAGGGAAAGTGAGATGGGTGGAGACAGCATGACACACACATGCAAAATCACACACACACAGGGACAGACGTGTACGGACAGACATGCCAGCGCTTCACTCTCTCCTCTCTTACAGCACAAGCGCACTGGATATCCTGCTATTCTTCTTGGCTGGAGCCTCCCATGGCGATAGCAGTAGGAATCCATTCTCCACGGATGCTGGGACAGCTGCGCTGATATTGAATGAGACGCAGTTGGTTCTGCCTCGCTCTCTGCATGTGGCTCGAGATAAAAAACTACATGCCACTTAATTCAAATCTACCCCGCCTGCTGCCAAAATGCACACCGGCTCATCCCGTCTTTGTCCTCGCCACCGACGAGAGCTCCCCATTTCTTTTTTCGCAAGAATTGCTGTAAATTCAAGCGTGCTGACGCATGGTGGCCCCAAGCTGACCGGAAAAAATCCGGAGAAACGCATCAATCCCAGAAGGCTCCATAAGCCCTATATATGCTCCAAAAGCAAATAATCCACAACATGCTACAGATTTTGCCGCAAAAAATAACAAAAAGTGACATTTGACATTGTGAGGTGAGTTAGCTTGGATACCTTGTCTCAGAACACAACCATCCAACAGAAAATGGCCACATTAAAGAAGCCGAGCCACAGTTCTTAATGATGGCAGTTTTTTTCTGCAGTAAGTTGGCCTGTAACTTGCTGCGTGCTATGAATGAATAAGTAAAAGGAACGTGATGTCCCAGGCAAGCGTATGGCGCCGTGACCTCACGGCGTCCCGCGATGAGGGGAGAAGCACCGGCACAAAACAGCAGCGCGGCCAATCGAATGACTCCGGTTTCACCGCCGTGCCCTCCAGACATGAGCACACAACTCGGTTACAAGCGAGGACAATAGATCCGCCCCGCTTGTCAATCAAGCGCACTATGAGTTCATTCTTCAGTCTGGTGTGCGAGAGCAGAGTGCTCTACTGGCTCGCTTTTATAAACTTATTTTTGTTGTGGGGCACCGGTGAGTTACACTGGTATCCCATATATTTATAATTAAGTCAATTAAATTAATGTTTTCTCAAAAAACTTCCCCCAAAAAAGCTGGCTATTTTAATTTAATTCCAACCTACATGGTGCCAAGTTTGACGCAGCGTAAGACCTGCTGATAAAACGTGTACCAGACCATCGAAGCTGAAGACGACGAAGTTAAGGAACAACACTGTTCCTGTAAAGCTGGTAGGTCTTTATTCAACTGTAACAATCATTCAAAAACAACAGCACCGTGTGTAAGCATTCCGTATACCTTCAGTAGCTAGCGTGGCATAAGTGCTAACGCTAGTTAACGACATGCTAACGCAATCAAATAGTGCTAACGCTAGTTAACGACATGCTAACGCAATCAAATAGTGCTAACGCTAGTTAACGACATGCTAACGCACTCAAATAGTGCTAACGCTAGTTAACGACATGCTAACGCAGTCAAATAGTGCTAACGCTAGTTAACGACATGCTAACGCACTAAAATAGCGTTAGCTCCACAGGGTTTTAAGGTAGAAAATCTCGTTCTGACCTCTCCACATAACGGGTATCACCATTGAACTTTGATATTTCACATAGAATGGCAGGAAATTAAACAAAACCAGCGCGATAAAGACAATCTGAAAGGATTGTGGGATTGACCCCAGGTCGGAGCTTGAGGGGCGACTTAGCTATAAGACACCAACAGCTTTAGGAGGCGGTTTGAATGTCTTTTATTACAAAAAGATCCGTCCTTTTTTTGCTGGCGTTGGGAACCGACAGATGGGAGAGGTAAAGGAGGTACGGGAGGGCGACACACACAAACACACTCGTCATACAGCCAATTGTAAAACTAAAGCGCAAGAGTTTGTGCAAATACAAAAGAATTTAAAAATGAGGTTCAAAATAAACACTGGGAGATTCAAATACCACAATTAAATAGTCATATTTGTAACCAAACATTTGTCCGAACCCTCTCCCTGCACACATTAAAACACAACGCGGTCAGAGCTGCAGCCAGTTTTCTGCTCTATTTCCAACATTATAAGAACCAAATCCCCAACCACGGGCTACGCAACAACAACAACAGAAAAACACAAGGCATGCAGTGTGTGTGCAAAAGAAACATTTTCGTCCCTGCACTGTAGAACCCCCACCCTAAAATGTCCTCAGGATGGAATATGTAAAAACACAGACACCTAATGCGGAATAAGTAGGGACTAAATAGGACTTACCACTAAGGCATTGTTTAGAAGGTGAGTAGGGTAATACTTTAGTGTTGAGAGGGTGTTAAGAGGCGAGGAGAGCAGGGGTCAGCGTCCAGGCAGGCAGAGGAGGAGGAGGGGGTGGGGGGGGTGGGGGGCAGAGGGAAGGAATTGGTTAAAATGTCGCACCAGTGAAAACAATATATGAGAATATATGAACTGCAGAGCAAGCACTACAGAACACACTTCAGATATCCAATGTAACGGCAATAGAAATGATTGTTGTGTTTAAGGGTTGTGCATTATTGTGCTGCGTCGTTGTGGCCCTGCGAGAGGGAACGGACGCTTGCAGCGGAGCAACAAATAAAACGGGACAAATAAATGGGATCATTAATTGAAAACTTATAAGGGGCGAAAATGACGTCAGGGGGAATTTGCGGTACAGGCTTCAAATGTTTTTCTTTTTGTTATGGATGAATGGGAAATAATTTTAAAAAGCACGCTTCTACTTCTCTTCACAAACCTATATATTACATTTTTAAAAGCATAAATATGGATGTGATTTTAATATCCATGGATCAGATCAATACGGAACACAGCAGAAGCCTCTCTCACACACACACACACACACACACACTCCTCTCGCCCCGTCATTTGCTTCCATCACACACACCGTCCGTCACATCCCCGCAACGCTGCCGCCGCTCTCCACCACCAGCTCTCTCTTTTCCATTTTACTTGAAATTACAGTTAATAATTCATTCGATTGTGTTCTAAATTGGTGCCACATTGGAGGTGCAGGCTCCAATTTCTTAATTATTAACAGCAATTCGACAGAGAAAAATGTGCCTCTCTTGTCTGCGAGGCAAGCTTGGTGTGTGTGTGTGTGTGTGTGTGTGTGTGTGTGTGTGTGTGGGTGAGGAGAAAATTGTTTCTTTTCTGCACAACACACACATATGGTAAAACATTTGAGAAAAATAAATAAACAAGCGGTTCTGGTTGAGCTCGGTGCGAGTTGCCCTCGCCGGCGGTTTGGACCTGAGCGGGAATCTATTTCACACACAAAAAAAAAAAAATGAAACTCCTTTTGTTCACAAGTTTTATCCGCTGTGAAAGATTGTGTTTATAAATCACAGATAAAGTCATCAAAGCCTGTGCGGGAAATATTCAGAAACACACTCTCACACACACACACACACACACGCACAGAAGTCATCCTCTCGGCCTGTGGTGCTGCGCCGGGTCGGTGGGAGCCTGCCTACGAGTGCGGAAGTCTCTTTTTAATAAAAAAGCGCTGTAAGAATCAGGGTTGAGTTCCACTTGAAACGGGCCGCCGGCGGGCCGCTGTCAGACCCGGCCAACCGGGGATAAACAAGCCGCGCTTTACGGGACTCCCAGCAGCCGCGTGACCCGGCCCGGCTGCCCCCGGCTACACGGGGGGAACCTTCCAAACAAAGCCAAATTAAATGACCGCCGTCGTCAGCAGAAACCAAAATAATAATAATTTAAACTAGGGATGAGAGAGATTTTAATGTATGTGTAGGGGTGGTAACAAACGGTATGGAGCAGCAGTGTGAGAGGGATTGTGGGATTTGGGGAAATGCGCATAAGAAGTGAGGGGTTGAAGTTCCGTGAGGTGCATTTTTCTCTCTCTCCTCTTCTTCGTACACGTGGTGTTTTGTTTTATTTGTTTTGAGTGTGATGGTGAAATTTACATTTTCATAAGATTTAATCAGAGCAAATGAAAAGAGTGGGAGTAAGTAACTGAAAAGCGTTCCAGAGGCTCCTGTGGTCGCACCTGAAGAGACAATTTACCCACAAGCTCCAACGGCCACTCCACAATACTTTCGGGGGGGGGGGGTCATTTCCTCCAAATAGCATGTCGAATGTAATGTAAAAAAGGCAACAAGCTTAACATCCGGCAATTAGATATCACATATAAGTGACATTTAATTTGTAAAATTAAAAAACACATTCTGGGGGGCGACAAGTACTAAGGACACGATCAATGCAGCTCCTGTTGAACTCTTTGTTCCAAGTGCAGTAAACTTCCAATAATTAACTGTGTCGCAGAAAAGATCCAGATTTTTTTTTTTTTGTATCGTTCTGTCTCGGAAGAGTTATTCACGCGCACGCGCACGCAGGTCCAACGTGTGTTTGTGTCCTTCGCGGTCTCAGCTCCACATGACATGCAGCTCCCAATAAATAATTAATAACATTTATAACAAGGAAACGTTGAACAGGAGAGCGCGCGTCATTGTCCGCGCGCTGTTACGTTCTACGCCCGCGCGCGCGTGTTTCTCGCCTCCTCTATTCGTCTTTTTACATGTGAAACACACTTCGGGAGAAGCGCCATTTTACTCTGCAAAAAACAAACACGTGCGCCGAAAAAGCGCACAAGAAAGTTCCCTCCCCGGTGCGGCAGTTCGGAAACGCGCCCGGAGACGAAGGGGAGGGTGGGAGAGGGAGACGGGGGGGGAGGGGAGGGGAGGGGAGGGGGACGACGACGACGACGAAGACAAGCTTCTGGGGTTCCAGTTGAGGGCGAAGTTTGGGCGAAGCGAGAAAAAGAGGCGCTCCTACAAAACTAACGCGCGCGCACGTGGAAACCCCCAAAGAGAGAGAAAGCGCCACACAGAAGCAGATAGCACCTAAAAGTTAAAAAAAATAATAATGCAACCCGGCGCCCCCCCCCCCCCCCCCCCCCCCAAAAAGCCCCCTTCCCCCCAAAACCCGGGAAGAAAAAGGAGGGGGGTTTTAGTGGGGAAAACAAGACAGGGGGTAAAACTTTGCGTGGTAAAAGACCGCGGCAAAAACTTGGTGTCACCATAAAAGATTATCCTTGGGTGAGTGGTTTTCTTCATCAACGGTGGGTGTGATTTGGAATACCCCCCAAAAAAAGCAACCATATACCAATCTTGACAGGAATAAATATTTGTTGCCATCACTCGATCGTTACATTGACGGACTCTCTCTTTTTTTTTTCTCCCTTTCTTTTTTTTTTTCTTAGCGCTGTTTTTTCCAAATGAAATCCCACTCAAAAGAAAACAAATAAAGGCGGGATTTTCCTATTTCTCGGATATTCAGCAGTACGCGTTTTATTGGGGGCTTCTCACGTGACGCGCGGTTAATCTTTTCATTATTTCAGGTAATAAGCCCGATCTCTCCTTCACGCGCATGCGTTGCGTTTACTGACCCGTCCGTCCGCGCGTTGCGCTACAGCCGCCGTAAGAGCACCGGACGATGCACACAAGTCGGATCCAATGTATTTGGAACGGCGCCGTTGTTACTCTTCAGGACTCGGAATGATGCACGTGAACGCATCATCACAACAGAGGGAGAAAGTGCAACACACACACACACACACACACACACACAGCAGCTGTCCCGTGAATGTCTCTTCAATAACATTTCGAATAAATCATCCGAATGAAATAATGTAACGTTTCAGTCCCGGAGGATTCCAGCTCTTTATTCTTGCACATTCAAATCCGAAGTGTGGATGTATTGGATACTTGAAGGTCACGTGCAGGCCTTCCAACGGACGTATTAACTCATTACAAGTACGGAACCCTGTTTTTTTATCTGATCTGTTCTAGAGGCCAGCGCAACGAGCCGGACCTCCTCCTCCGCGCAGCGTCACCGCGCGGGACACGCGCGCAGAATTTGGGCGTTCGAGGAAAGGAAAAGTCCTGCAGATTTACGAGGCCTGTAGCTGCCTCTTCCAACGAAAGGGATCCGAGGGGGCGCGCAATGGGAGCAGGAAAGTGCGCGGTTGCCGGAGAGTACGCGTATGAGTGTGCGTGCGTGTGTGTGTGCGCGCGTAACCTTACTGCCTCAAGAATAGCAGCAGTCCTGCGCATGACAATGATGCACGACTGGCATGAAGGGTACACGCCCCCTAACACACGCATACAGGTGTGGACAGGTGTGTGGACCTCATACATACTGTTCCTCCAAGTAAAAATGACTCGGAGTCATCGCATTCTTCTTCTTATTATTATTATTAGACAGTGGGTGGTATGTGCGAGATGTATGGCGTTGCTGCTTTAGACCATTGACAGATGTTCTCCTTCCCCAAAAAATGGTAACCCATTTGGAATGATTTCTCCAGCTTCATTCAGAGAAGAGCACTCGGGCCACGCCCTGCTACACCCGCGCCTGACTGCGCCTGATTGCACCAACGCTTTCACTGGTTTTACTGTCGTGCTCCCTGCTGGCTCGTTTGGAAACTTTCTTGAATATTAATAAAATAGTAGTAAAGTCGGAAAACATTTGCGACGGGGACAAAAGCGAGTTTAAACGCCATGTGACTTTTTTTCCCAACCAATAGACACAAGTTACCCTATTTTGAATGCGCAGTAGTGACCTAGAGATGCGGCTCAAGCATCACAGCGAGCCAGTCCCTAAAGTCTTTAAAGACACTTTTGCATCAGCTTCTCGCGGCGGAACTGGAGGTTGCAGTCCGATCCGAACACGTATATCGGGTCTGGAATAAATCTGTAGATGCTTCGGTTTGAAATGAAACCAAACCTTCCTTGGCCAAGAGGTGGCCTTCAGTGGACCAGGAAAGACTTCCGGCCAAGCCGAATACCTTTTGATCCTGACAAGGTTAGTTAAACCCAATGGGCCGGTTAGGACGAGTTAGGAGCTGAAGACGATACAAGACAACAGATGAGGGAGAAGTTTCATGCGACGAAGCATCGGAGGCTCCCGCGGAGAAAGCTGGATGTGGACACCCTCCTGTGGACGTTCTTGAACCCGCTGCCCCCTCGGAATCCTACACAGCTTCCCGCCCCACCACCCCAAAGAAAATGCTCCTTTACCAGCCTCGCTACTCAATTACCTCCATAATGGTTCGTTCCTGCACCCCGAGACACTCGATACACTGTAGCAACCCAGATTCAGTGTGAGACTTGGCATGAGTCTCAACTCCGGGAGAGACAAAGACTGAAGCCTAGAAAAGCAGCTCCCACCTCATTAACAATCACATTTTCAGCCCCCCCCCCCCCCCCTCCCGCATCCCCATTCTCACTCCTTTGTTTTTATTACCATCCTATATCACTATGTGGACCGGTATAAATCCACCGAGTGAGCTAGGAGGATTTTTCTTCCTCTTCTTTTTTGATGCTTTTCCCAGAAAAGCTTCATCACTTTCTTTTACTTTCTGCTCCTTTTTGCTTTTGCCCAAACGAGTCATCGCGCAAATTGTCGTTATCATTTTCGCTCCTATGAGGAAAGGGCAAAGTCCCCCCCACCCACCACACACACACACACACACACACACACAGTTGTACTTTCTTCGTCTTCTTCAACGTGGGTGTGGAAATAATGATTGTAATGGTTTGCAGCTGAGTAGAGGGAGCTGTGAATGACATTATGATTGTGGTGCAATTACCAAGAGCATAAAAACAGACTGCCAGTCAGAGTAATGAGTAATGACTCAAATACCATATTTCATACAACACATGAGAGAATGAAGAGTAATAATACTAATGCTCCTAAGACATATCATTATACTAATGCTAATAATAGTAATAGTAATAACCAAAAGAAATGGATGGAATGAATTTTGGAATGGAATGAAAATAAAAATGTAAAAAAATGGAATGAAAATAAAAATCTAACACATACAAGCATAATAAAAACGAGAACTACATTAAAATAATACAATATGTAATTATGACGATAATAGCATGCTGATAATAGCAAAATGAACAGTGACAATAATAATAATAATAATAGATGCATACCCTGTATGAATCTGATACTACAAAGCATTCAGGCATCCCCGGGCCTCTGGTGGGTTCCTCGTTCAACAGAAAGGTTTCGGTTGCCTGAAATATAACACAACAGTCATTTATTTTTTTATTGATGCCATCTTTATTTTCATGAAATTCAAAAGACAGCGAAAAGCGGTAAATGCTGGTTATGCATGTGAGTATCCTGCTCATCCGTTTACTTTCTATATTTAGCTGTTTATTACTTAACCTCAAGTCCAACACACTACCAGATATGTTCTTGAGAAAGATTCCACACACAAACACACACACACGCACACAGAGTAGATGGTGTGTGCTGCCTGCCATGTAGCCATATGCTTTGAGGGCCCGAGGCCCCGGCCCTGCCGGTCACCACCACGTGAATGTGGGAGCAGAGCGTTTAGCCGCCGTATCGGCACACAATACTCCGGCACAATGGCCTTTCCTGTCCCTGCTATTTCACCTGCATGGTCACTTTTCTGTCAACGCACACTGATTCAGCACAAATCATTCACACACACACACACACACGCACACAGAAGCCATACGTCTGCCCGCACGCGGGCACAAACACAGGCGCCTGGGCCAGATCGCTACGCTGCATCCGCTGATAGATGCAGCTGAAGTGTTTGTTCGAAGTGTTTGTTTCTATTCAGCGCGGTTCATTTGTATGCCGCGGGACGCGCCAGCAGAGACGCGGGCTCTGAATGAGCATCCGCCGCGGCGCTGGCGTCCATTAGGAGGCCGCCGGGCCAGGAGGGTACCACGGACCGAGGATCTGGATCAGGGATGGGAAGCTGCTTGGCCGGCCCGTGGGTACTACTATTTAGTCCAAGCTGGTACAAATTGGTTCTCATGGGGATACATTTGAATACTTGTTTTTGGATACCGACTGAACCTGTTCGGGCGAGAGCTCAAAATTGCCATATGTTGATGAAAATAACTCTGGTTCCGTGAATTAAGTTTAGTTTGTGGATAGAGGAGATGAAATAATCCCATTTTCCACAACTTTACGTTCCCCCGTCTCCCAACATATACCTTCAAGCAGAAACAATCAGGGACCCAAAACAGGAACAAACATCGCTCGTAGTCAGCGAACAAAATGTAAAGTTATGCTACTTAAACTGGCATGCGAGGTAAACAATCTCTTGGTGGGAAATCAAACAGACGTACGCAGACTTAAGGACTTACACATGCACACAAGTGCACGCGGAGCGACACAGGAGTGCACTCAGAGAATATGCATGCGCGGACACATGCATAAACACACAGCGCTGTAATGGACCCCAGACTCTGCTGAGGCGGGCTGTTCATATCCTTCAGAGTGACATGTTAAAGCTTCAGTCTTTTCCCCCGCTGGGAAGGGCACCTGTGTGTGTGTGTGTGTGTGTGTGTGTGTGATGTCACTCCATCTCTGAGTTTCTGTTGGTTTAGCGAGGGCCACAAAAAAAGAGAAGAAAGAAAGTTGGAACCGGAGGCGTCCAAGTGACAGAGAAAAACACTCGTCATGGGGCATCGTCATCCAACCTCTGGCCTGTCACTAGTAATATGTTGGGGGAACACCGGAGGGAAACCATTTTTGAAACCATTTGTCCCACTAAATGGCGGCCTTGTCGAGCTCCCGGGGCTTTCTGCTAAGCCCTTAAACTGCCCGGTGCAGCTGAAGGAAGTGTTCGACACAGCGATCGCAGAGTTGTTGGTGGAGGCCTCTGTCTGACAAGTTTGTGTCATTTCAAGTCACAAAAGAGGTTTTTCGCCATGCAGACGATGGAGCTCAGCCTGAAAGCGTCTGGAAGAATAATAATAAACGAAAGAGTTAAAAAAAAAAACGTAGAAAAGGTTCTTTTTCTGAATGAACCCTGATGTATTTCCATGTCTTTATATTATTTGTTTGAGACGTATTGTTTGAGGTAGCATCACTGGGCCCCTTTCCTTCAGCTTCTATAGAGCATGGTATCAATTGTCTACGTGTGTGTTTTTATATATATAAAGGAGCATATGCCAACTCCATATGGCTGGCCTGCAGCAAGATCATTTGATGTCCTCACTCTTTAGGTAGCTGAGATCTGAGTGTAATGCAACACTGGTGGTTGTTGGATTTTATCGGTGGCGAGCGCAGACGGTGTCCCTGCAACTCCAAACAAAGTGGAGAGGGAGGACGAGGAAACCTTCAGAACTCAAGCCAGGCAACAGAAGGGCACATTATGGGTTTTTTTCTTGGTCAAAGTCACAGTGCGAGTTTCCCTATTATGTATGTGTGATGTATTAAAGATTTTCGTTTAATGATTTGGGGAGAAAGTCGCCCAGGCGCTTGGTATGATTTAAATCAGAGGTGTGCGAGTGCAAACCAGCCTCATCTGTGAGCTCTGAGCTCAGTGTCACTCCAGTCCCACATACAGTGGAGGCTCAATTGCAATCCGGCCCCAAACACCCCCCCAGCTCGGTGGCGGGGTGAACTCCGTCTGTAGTCACACACCTGAATGAAGAACACGTTTTATGGGCTTGCAGCGGCTCTGTCCATAAATTAATATCACAATCAGAAATCCTTCCATTGATTCCCCGGGTAAGTGGGTTAACTTACTTCCATTCCAGAAAGAAATATTTATATAAATTCTAGGAAATAGGTATATGTTAAAATAAGTACATTGTAGTTAAATTTAACAACAGCATATGGAGAAAAGAAAAAAGAAAAATGGTCAAGTATTACACAAGTTAAAAACAGCAGTGCAGATAAAAGAAAATGGGGGCTATGATGATGTATTTAAAAATGCAATAAAAAGGAAAAATAAAAATAAATATTAGTTTTAATTTGCAGTAAAACTAAATGCAGCGTTGATACCAGATGTACCTGGTTGTTTTGTTTTGTTAGGTCAGTAGTGCACGGCTGAAGATAAAAAATGATGGGCATAAAAAACAACCATAAATATATGTAGGATATAAATATACATGAATATTCTGTTGTCTAGAACACAGATGGCTATTCTTGATCCAAAATACAAAAGTAAACGTCAGGATGTTATTGTCCTTATGACGATATCAAATAAGTCGCACAGAGCTACATTTGTAGGGAGCAGTGCACGAGGTCAGTAGGAGCAGCAGAGTAGACCCCGTTTATTAATCCACGTCCACTCCCTGCTCATTGGTTCGGCATGGCCCCTAATGTGGCACACTCCCCACGCAAATGTACAACGTTTGGCCGACCGTGGCGTGTGGATTAGGGAGGGTGCAGCGGGTGTAACTGTGGGGTTGGTGGTTTGAACCTCGGGTGCTACAAGTCCCGTGTCAAAGTGTCCTTGAGCAAGACACCCGGCCCCTGACTGCGCCTTTGCGGCAGCACGGTGTGGGTCGAATGCAGAGGAAAATCCCCCCCGGGGGATTAATAAAAGGTATTTTTTTCTTACTTGTAGGGAAAAGATGAAGGTGTCCAACTGGAGTTTGGAGTCTTCCCATTACTGATTTATAATTCATTGCCTATTGCTTGACACCTTGAAAGTGGACCCAAAACTCCAATTGTAGCGAGGGACACACTGTGACTACATTGAGCTAGAGATGCACCCATACTGATATTGGTCTGATACTCACCAACATGGCTGGTTCAGGTATCAATGAATGATAACCGACAATTCAGTAAATGACTCTATATGAATGCTTCTGTTTTGTGTTCAAGTCATGCCTGAAGTAGCCTCAAACATAAATAATGACTGATCTGTTGATCAAGGCTCAGGTATGGTCACTGAGACTGAAATAGCCACATCTGCAGTAATGGAACACATGGAACACCTGTATAAATACAATTACTTTTTCAATTTGACAACTACGTGGGCAGAACTACGTACTCACGCAGGACTTTCCAAATCAGTCAGGAAGCAGGAATTAGCCAGTTAGCGAGCGAAGCCACAAGCAACACAACTCGTCCAAAACAGGTAGTCAAGACACTTGGATGGAGTTGAGAGGAGAAGTGTCTGCTTTTAATTTGGACGGACAAAACTACAGAGGCCAATTTGAACCAGCACCCGAGAACCGAATCCGACGCCAGGTTGTTTAGTTAGACTGAGCTGCTGGATCTCAATTGGTTCTTGATGTGGACACATATCAATACCAGGAGTAAATGTGTGCAGGTTAAATAATAATTTTAATGCAAGCTGTCTGTGTACTCTGGAATGTGTAGCTTGTAGTGATGAACCCACGGAGAATTATCTTATTCCGATATTTTAATATTCTGGACCAAAAGCTTAACTGTTTGGTTCATTCCCAAGTCTCGTATCATGTTTTTAACCGTAACAAGCAGCGGTTTTACAGCAATGGATTCTAAAAACACTCCTACACGATTTGCACAGCTCCAGACCGTAGACATAATTAGGAGCTAGCATTCAGGACATAGTGTCGAGAGCTAGCGGCATCTAAAGACTAAATGCAGAAGGGAGGAGCTACTCTTTTATTTAATAAGATAGTTCATGATAACCAAACCTGTGGAACCCACTCTGCTGGTTCCACAGGTTCTTACACAGAAACCAGCGACTGAGAAATGTACGTAGTCATCGTGACGTCACCCATTAGTGTGTGGACAGTTATGTCGCCCTGGCCATCTTGGAACACGTTAGTTGCCATGTTGCTTTTTGCAACCAATGGAAAGACGTTACCATATTTGCAATGCAGAGGAGTGATGGTACTGTAGCGGTAGCAACTTGTCAATAGCAGTAGCCCGGCCCTAAGTGATAGAATACCTTAATCGGTTTGCATAGATGCCTACAGAGCATCGTGTTGCTGGAGTGCAAATAGAAATCTGGATTTCTTCCATTATTTCCGCTTCATCTTCCGGAAAAATAATCCTGAAAAGTTATGTCGTTCGTCACTACCCGGCAGGGTCTGAGGCAAAACCTTACTAAAGGTGGGCGGCATTACACCCCAAAACAGTTACAGGTGACCAGAGGCCACCTGGCGCCTGTCTCAAGGGTGGAGCTTTTAACCTCAGAGAGGTCAGGTGCTTTCAAGTAGACGGTTCCCCACCTTCAGCCAAGGGAACGGGAACCGTGACAGCGTAGAATACATTAGAGAACATATATATATGCGGCCCCACTTGAAGCCCGGCTCTCTCATTCTTTTGATCACAAACAGACACACACACACACACAGCACAAGAACACTCGTGTTTACGAGCTTCTGGAAACACGGCGGCCTACAGGAGAAAGGCATCCTCACAACCCTCCGTCCTCCCACTTCAACATTGCGCAGGGCGGATTTTCTGAAGCATCGGAGACTTTTTCGTCAGAAAGCAAACTGACATCTACCAGTCCCCGCTTCATTCATCCCTAATTGTGTCCTCATTCCTCACCTGTAACAAGCTAACAAACCTGTGCAAATGTGGCACGCGCATCAAAGAGAGGGAGGGGCGGGAGGAGGGGGAACTTGTTTGTAGGGGGAAAAAAGAAAATGTGCAGAAGGGGGGGAATGAAAGGGAGAAATTGTACGTTGTGTGAGTGTGAGCCAGCGCCACCTCAGGGAGAAATGCTGGAAAAATGTGATATTTTACACCTGCATCTCAGGAGGTGAGGAATGAGACGGGGGGGTAATTAGAGGTGTGTGTGTGTGAGGGTGTTTATAAAGGATTGTTAGTGTGTTTCTGGGGCTTGCCACCGGTTCTTTTTTAGCATTCAATTTGGTGCGACGCATTCGATGCCAAACTATTTAAAATGCTAAACCTGGTTCAGAATGGTAAAAAAAACTGGAAAAAAGTGTTGAAAATTTCAACCAACATGCTAATATTGTTTCAGTGATAAATAGCTGGCAAGATCTGCTTAATGAATAATGCCATTAGTTTTAATTCCTCATTAAGGCCCTCGAGACGAGGGTGAAGGGAGGAAATACACGTATTGTTGTTGCGTTTGTTTTGTTTTTCTTTTTTCAAATTACAGCAGAAGATACCGACACCTCCCTAAATGAAGTAGATCCAAATGACTTGCTTACACAGATGGTGTGCAGTCTGGGGCGTCTCGTGGAACCAATTAATATGAGGGTTACGTCCTGATAAAGTAATTGAGGGCCGCGTTAGAAATGCGATGGAAGAGTCCAGAGCTGTAACGTGAGCTCGATCAGACGCTGCAACCCAATGCAAAAAAAAGAAAGAAGGAAGAAAAGAAAAATCCCAAGCAAAGTGTGAGCGCTGTAGTGAAAAACGAGTTCACGAAATTGGTCTGTGTTTTTTCCAAAGCCAACAAATCTGATCTGAGATCTGGAGTCAAGTAGTCGCTTGTTTTTTCAAGAAAACTCTAAAGTTTCTTTGGGAACAGTGAGAGGACTTCACTTTTCTACATATTTTCTATACTGGAGGCAATCAGACTCCATCTGGCACAAACGGCTCCCTCTGCTAACAAGTCCATCATTTTGGGGAGGAGGCGGGATAACTTCACAGTGACATCATGGTGACATCATCTCAAATTGAGACTTTTCAGTTACCGAAATTCTTTTACAGATTTGAGCTTTTGAAGTTTTGAGTTTAAAAGAAGAGCACAGTCAATGGTGACATATTGACTTATGCTGCCCAGTGGTATTATGGGAAGTATAGGATGCGTTAGCGAAGCTCGACTCGTCAAGAGTGACAGAAAGTCTGGATGTCTCGACCTCTGCTGTTTCGAGTTGGACCGTTCTCTTTTGAATCCCCTCGTACGTCCCTCATCTTCACCAGATCCACAAAGTCTTCTTCTGCTAACTGGAACACGCCACAAATGTAGGATTGTCAGAAGTGACACTCTTCTTGCCTCCTTTCCTTCTTCATCTTTTGGTTTATTTTAGCGGGATACTCCACGGACACACCCCGTGCTACAACCGCATCCTCATCCAAGTGTTGGGAGTTTAACCATCTTTAAACTATACGGCAAAAAGCTTCCACGTACATGAGCGAGTGAATGTTTGATGACGTCTTTATTTATTCATTTTTTCCCAAGGCTTGAGCGAACATAAAAGCGTAATATTCAGGCGGGGGGGGGTCACAAATCATCATGTGGTGGGACACACACACACAGTGCGGGATACAATTACTCCAAACTACAGTCCTCTTAGATGACGGCATTGGTTTCTGTTCCTACAGTGTGCATGAGACATGTGCTAAGCATGACCATTAACACATGACTGACATTCCTCATCATGAAGGTCTTATAAACACGGAAAGTATGAATCTGGGGGCGAACGTGGGGTGTGTCTATAGTTTCGGGACGGCGGGCCGCAGTTTTCCAACTTTTTGCTTCCCGAACACATTTGTTACGAGCCGGTAACCCGCTGTGCCACGTTATCAGAGGTCACGAGCCGGGGTCCCTGAACCTGATTGGCGAATCCCTGAATCCCTCCGGTGAATTCTGACTACACCAACGTGTAGCTGGGATACTTGGCACCATTTCACAATATAGCCTGACTCGTTAAAGATAAATGTTATTTTAAAATGAGGTGAGTTGCTGAGAGGGAAAATAACAAGTCGAGATAATCCCATGTGAGGCCTGTCCTGAATTCTGTATCTTCTTTTCCTTTTTTTTTACCGATGAGCTTCTTGGGCAGCCGCCATGTCAGCGAGGATGCTCGTAAACAAATAATTATTTATACTAATAATCTTCTGTATTCATGTGCAAATAAGATCCCCCCCCCACCCCCCACCGGAGCCCCACGCACCACCTTAAGCAGCTCCAAGGTTGCATGTGGGAGGTTACACTAACTATTGACTGACTTGGAACAGATCTTGCCAAAAAATAAAAATAAAGATCCGCTTGAAGGGTCAAGGACGTGCGAGCTCCATAACTCTGTATAAAACATTCTGCTTGTGGCTTTGCAGATTTGAACACATCTGCTATTTAGATCCAAGGGGTAAAAAACAAGAAATAATTATAATAACAAAATAATAGTGTTTTTCAAACTCAAAATGAACTGAAATCACAAGTCAAATATTAAATACTTAGCGAGATAAAGCTGGTGGTGAGCCGATGATCGTAAACCTTTGGCTCAAACGAATCACCCGTGCGTAATTACGCACAAATCAGACGGGCGCATTTTTGGATGTTGGCGCCGAAAACAAGTACCATCTTCTTGCTGCCTAGGGTTTCCAAATCTGTCCAACTTTGCCATTTTATGTGGGAACTCTGGCAGGGGGGGGGGGGGGGGCTCTCCCCGTGCATGTCACTACGTATAACCATTTATTTTTATTTTTTAAAGACAAACCGTGCGGTGCCTCTTGATGAGCTGCTAGCCCAGTTTGACATGCGATAACTCGTATCATATATGCGGCTATAAATAGCCCCCCCCCCGTCCACGGACCACCGCAAGGACGAGACTAAAGTCCTCCAACTGAGAGAGCTGGACACCAATTTGGCCAGAAGCACATTTCGGCAACGTGTTGTGCAGCTACATTAAAAATAAGTGGCGTTGTGTGTGAATAGCAGCAACATAACATACATAGAAAAATAAAATACACATACATAACATGCAACCCGTATTTACAAAAGATAACCACAATAACTGTGACAAGAACCATATCCGGGTAGGTGGAAGGACTACTCTAGGTGACTGATACGCATGAGATACTTCAGTACACAGTAACACACACTAGAATTATAAGTGTCAGCCCACTAAACTTTGAAAGGAAGTCTGCGTGTCATTAAATCTACGGAGAGCTAAATGGATCTGAAAAGCTGACTGCACAAATGAGCAAATGACTTGGTTTACACGGCACGTACCATTGTGGTGTGGAGGGAAATGTGCCAAGCACCTCTCAAAGACGCATTTTCCACCCTCGAAAAGTTCGGCTTCCAAAAAAAAAAAAAGTGTGTGGGAGAGAGAGAGAGAGAGAGAAAAGTGCCCGGTTTCTCGTTCAGCTCGGCCTCCTTCCGGAAGCAAAGCAGCACCCAAAAACACGGCCCGCTCTCTAATGTATTTATTTGCAGTCGCCGCGGACGCGCACGCGGCGGCGTAATCCAAGTCGTCCGCTCCGCCGACTGCTTCACGCAAGGTGTTTACGTCCGCTTTCACCGCGTGATGCCTCCATGAGAAAAAATATCCCCCCTCCCCCTCGCTCCCTCCCTCCCTCCCTCCCTCCGACTCTGTCCCGGTACCGTAACGTCCACCCGAGCCGCCCGCACTTCTGCAGCATGCGCCACCGACACAATCAACGCTCGACCAGCCCCCCCCCTCACCCCCTCCCTCCCTCCTGAAGCAGCCAAGCAAAGGGGGAGTTGCTTTGCATCGAGAGTAAGCGCGAGCTCAGAGCTTCCACGCGCCTCACCCGAATCAGCTGTTGCTCGTGCGGCAGGGGATGCCCCCCCCCCACCCCGACTGACACAACCACCGCTTAGTGCATGCTCCGGACCGGTGCCCTCCACCCGGTTCTTTCGGTGTGCGGGGCGGGGGGGGGGGTTCCTGCGGCCGGAGGACGCGGAGCGACGAGGGGGGGCCTGGTGAATTATTAATAACTGGAGCGGTTCGCAGGCTGTCGTGTTCGGCGAGTAACCAGGGCGGCAGCTGGGGGTTTAGAGGAATTAAAGACGGGCTCAGAGTAAACCGTGGACGCGGGGGATTAGGAGCTCTCACCGGCGGGGGGGGGGGGGGGGCAACCGCGCGCTGCTACAGATTCGGAAAACCCCAAATAGTTTCAGTGTCTCACAGAAAACTTCATGTCCATTTTTTACAATACATATGGAGGCGTTGTTAGTTGGGTGCCAGGAGACTTGATACGCATTCCGAACCGAACCGTTTCACAACCACATCCACGGTCGAGCTGTTTGCATCTCTGTTTGTTTTAGGGGCCCGAACTCCACCTTTTATACTCGTTTCGGATGGAGGCGACCGAGGCGCGGCCCGCGGGTTATCGGGGGAAACGGGGCGGTTCCGAGGAGGTGCTGCACCTGCCGCAGTCTGGGTCCGCCGGTTCAGCTCGATCACTTTACAGGAAGACCAGTGCGAAGCTTCTGGACTGAGCGGCTCCTTGAGGACACGCGCACGCACGCGCGCGCGCACACACACACGCGCTCAATGTTTCACAGAGGCCGCGTCTTTTACTCCAGCAACGAGAATCAAATCATTTATACGCTTTATATTTACTTTAGGATACAAATGAGCTGAATGTTTAAATAAGAATGAATACATCATTCTGAGTCATTTTGAGTGTTCAATGTTGGATGTTTTAGGGCCTAATGATGGACGAAAGACTTTTTTTTTTAGTTTTGCAGTACTAGATTATGCGTTGAAAATTATCAATAATCTGGAATTTTAAAACCATTTTTTGAGTGAAACATGTGTTAATAAATTCCTAATTTAAATACAACAGAGTTGTCCCATGTGTTTTAAATTACGACTCTTTTGTATTTACAATATTAATTGTCCAAAATTAATTAATTAATTATCCAACACCTCATTTGCAATGTTACCACAAAATACAATATATGAAAAATAATCAATTTAGGCCTCATGTGTTTTATTTGCTTTTAAAATGAAAATAATTGGGCAGGCTGACGTTGGATATAAATGTATGATTGTCAATTCGTTGGGACTTTTTAGGTGTCCGAAATGGATGAAAACAGAATAACAACTCATCAGCATTGGAATATCTTCATTTGATTTAATTTCATTCAAATATTTTTTTTGATAGCATTAAACCCATAAATAAACTGCAGGCAATTCTGGTCACAGAGAAAATGAGTTTTTAGAAATCTCAGATAAATAATTTAAAACAGTAGCCTGCGTGTGAACGTGCGTGTGGTAACTGTGTGCGCGCGCGCGCGTGTGTGTGTGTGCGCGCGGCCTCGTAAGGTGCGCGCGAGGCCTGCAGCATGTGGGGCAGAACCTTCAACTGGCGTTGGGCCCGATGCGCACCGTCACACGTTAAAGTAGATCGGATTAAAACAAACAAAATAAGACATTTATGAATGTGCCCCCCCGACTCTTATGATACATTCGATCAATATTATTATTGGCTTTGTCTCGTCAACCGACAGGACTGTGAGTGTACGGGGTGCATGTTGTGAATATTGGCAACATGCTCATTTGTTGAAACGACTTGATGTTTGACCTCAACATTGCTGTAACTTTATCGGCTTTCTTTCCTGGACTCCCTTGAACGCAACGTCCTTTGTGGGCCCACCTGTACACTTGTTATTTAAAATTGGTTTTCAAATATTTTGGACAAATGAACTGAACCGAAGGCGGACTGTAGGATGATCACCCGTGTCCCGTGGTGTCTAAAAACGACTATTTAATCCCCACGTCTGTTGCCGGGAGACACGGGGAAAAGTTGGAAAAGTAACTCAATCCGTGAACCGTGAAGGCACCACGCCGTCTAAACTTGCCCAAACGATGCCTTGGAACGCTTCTGCGCTCTGCCTGTGTGGCCCGGATGTACCGGCTCTCCCTGAAGTTCCCCACACAGACGCACGCGCACGCACGCACCGAAACAATAATCTGCACCGGGCATCGGTCCCGTCGCGGAATCCTGCGTTATTACGCATTTGTCCTGCGCCAACAACTTCCAAGAGGTTTTCCACGCGTCGGTTCGACGTGCTGCTGTGAGCTGAGGGGAGAAACCTCACCGCGTTAACAGAGCAAACGTGCGCAAAGGAAATAAATCAGTGTGTGTTTAAAGATGGATGGAAAATAGGGAGCAGCATTAGGGGGCCACACAAGAAAAATGCTCCATTATAAATACATCCGAATAATGATTCATAGAGAAAATTACTTCATCCAAAGTAACCTTTGAAATATATATATATATAAAGAAAACAAGAAGACGATGAAAATGTATATGTATGTTATTATTTATTTATTAAATCATGTTAAATATATTATTTTTGATTTATTTAATTTATTGAATAAATGATACAATCAAGCATCACATTCGGGTCGAGCTGCCCTCAGAAGTACTCTTCACTTATCTATCTGGTTGATGTGGAGAACATTAACACTGAATAGTTCAACCTGTATAATACATATTCAAATGTGGTGAAATGTGTAATGTGTCTCTTTAAAATGAAGTGAAGTAACAGTATAAAGAAGCTTCCAATGAAGCCTGGCCTACCTCAACATTGTAGTTAAGTAAGTTGCGTTTGAAAAGGAGGTCAAAGTAAGTTCACATCGATTAAGAAGAAGTATAGAAAGATATGGTGCACATACAGAATTACAGCTGTGTTGGTATATTAATCCTATATTCATCTCACTCTTTTCAAATCTTTTCCACGAAGCTCTAGAGAACCGGCCTGGCCTTTGAAATTAAAATGGATCACTCGTTACCGACGCGACTCCTCAAGTGACTTGTGAAGTTGAAACGCGGTATTTCCATATCTCCCGGCGTGAAGGCCGATTCATCTGAGAAAGTAGCTGGATCCCGAAGGCCTTTGAAATACAGGTTGAGGCTTAATTAAAAGAGGTACTTAATTACCAAAACACCCTTGAGTAAGTGTGTGGGCCCTTTGTACATCAAGGTAGGAAAACACTTGTCCCCTCACTTCAAATATAGAAATTCTATATTTAAAAAAGAAAATTCTTAATAAATCTTACAGAGAGAAGAACCAATAACTTTCTAAAAAACTGTTTTCATTTTAGTTTGGAAAAAAAACATCTTGTGCCCTCTCTCTCTATTTTATCCGAGTGCATTTTTGCTCACTCGATCGCATTAGCATGTGAGATTGTGTGTCTGCTCGACATAAAACACACACACAGCAAACACATCCACCTGCCTGCGGAGCGCTGAGATTAACAACCGCCGATGGATGGGCGGGATTGGTGGAGCCTGGGGGCCTCGGGGGCCCCGCCAACCGCTCATTGGCTCTGCAGGAGACCTGATGAGTGTGAGTGTGTTCCTGGATCTCTGAGGGCGTCGCACGCTCCCCGGCCCTTATCAGGCAGCTCCACGGCACCACCGGAAGAGTCCTGCTCTCAGGAGGGCACGGCCTTATCTCCCACCCGCAAGGAGGGTTTATAGGTTTCTGATTAACTCGATGTTTGTATGTTTTTGTATGTACGAGAGGAAAAAGAAGAGAGCCGGGGTGTGCGACTGTGTGTTGTGTGTATTGTGTGTATGCAGGTTTGAAAAAGGTGTGTGTGAAGCACACAGCAAAGCGACAAACGCGTATATTCTAATAATTCTGAAAATGAGCAGGTTGGAACAATAGAGATTAAGTCAAATAAGTGTTGAGGTCGTTGGGTTTTAGAAGTAGCATCAGGCTGCCAGTCGAAGCGCTGCTGTCCCCTCAGCCAATCACAGCCCTCCAATGGCAGACAGGAAGCGAGAGGAAGCCTCTCCATTGCTTCATTGCGTTTACGAGACAATAACAGTGATGATTAACAACATCTTTCTTTTGAGAATAATATAACTAGTGCTCTCGTTTACCCCTCGACAAGGGGACAAGTGAGAGACGGGCTCTGTACAGCGAGACAAACTAAACAAAACTCCCCCCAATGTAAAATCAAATTGCAGCATGTGTCACTGTGTTGATTGTGGACCTGTGTGATACGGTTTGGTCCAGCCGGTGCAACCAGAGAGTGTCATCGTCTGCGCGCGGGGGGGTAAAAGCAAGAGTATGGTGCCCCCCTCTTCTCTCCCGCCCCATAGGAGAAAACCGGGCCGCCATAATCTCTTTTCCTGGCTCACCATGAAAGAGGGGAAGAGCCACCAGAGCCTCGGTCCGCTTAGATCTGCCGCCCCTCACCCCCGCTGTATCTCCCATCTCCTGCTCTTCATCCCATTCGCTCGCTCACCCAGGATCCCCTGGTAGCACGTCGTGTTTGCTTTGCTCATTGTTTAGCATTTCCACCTCCGCGTGTCTCTTTTCAGAGCCTTCTGGCCGTGCTCACTAACCTCTTTTTAACGTTTTCATAGACTGACGATTTGAAGCAAAGCTCTCAAAATGTTCTCATCCCCTTTTCTTTTAACCACTTCCCCCCCCGATGCCTCATTGTGCCCCTTCCCCAAACCTCTGAGGGTGAGGGTATATCATTTTATGGATCCCTGCCATTCGGTCTGGTCCTCCTCCCCTTCCTGCGCATTTCCCATCACTTCCATCTCCGCTGC